TCCCTTCCAACCTAGACCATTCTGTGATTCTATGTGGAGAAGCTACTGCATTGAGTGTGATGATTTCACCGAAGAGTATCCCAGGAATCCCAGTTTAGTCATTAGTCTCCTTTGACTCATTGTGCCAAGTGCAGCTGATTATCTGAGCCATGCTCCTGGAGAAATTTTCTATCAAGTATCATTCCAGTATCTGTGCTTCACCAGACCAGTTCCTTCTCTCCTTTGACCCTAAAGATCTGTTAACCTTTGCAATGAACATTCATCCGTATTCTTCCTTGACAGACAGTGTCCCTGTGGGGAAACTCAGGCCGCATGGAAATGACAGCTTCCAAGTTCATGGACATACAGCGGGCCATCCAGCCAGACTGGTTCCAGTGCATCTCTGACGGAGACACCGTTTCTGGGGAAGCTGGTAGAAAAAGGGCAAAGAAGTCTGTGGATAGGTCGCTTTCATTCCTGGATATATGCCTTCAGCTACTAGAAAAATCACCGGTAAGGTCCCCAAAATATCAGGGCAGTAACATTACAGTGGCTTTTTGGACTGTGCTGCATCCTAGGTCAGTCCCAGAGTGTGATTTAGTAGGAAATTGTGTCACACATATGCATTTCTTTCCCTTACCTTCATGCTGTATATATAGACAAAGTACCATCTTCTCGTTCAGATTGAGAAAACCCATGTTCTTTTTCTGGAGTCCCCCGTTTTAAGTGAGGGAGGACTTGCTAGAATTTGCCAGTACTAGTCTGTATTTCTTCCAGCAGCTTTGAAACTTCCCTCCCTTTTGGTGAAAGGGGATGTAATATATGAGTCTGTACTATAGAGGAAAATGAGTGACAGGAGCTGGTATTAGTTTCCTCTGAAAGGCAATTTGCTGCAAGATCTGATGCCTGAACAGTCAAGATAATGGCACCTCCTTTGTATTCTGCACTGACACATGCAGTGCTGAGGAACCATCTATAAAAAGCCATGTACAAAGATGATCAGTGGTTATTGCCTTCTGTAGGGAGGTGCGAAGAATGGCATCAAAATTCTCAGGAGTTAGTGTCAAGGTAAGGAGCAGGATCTTGTCTTTCCTAATGCTGTTTCTGCCTTACACTTGGATTTCACAGTTTTGTGTGGAGAGTAGTCTTACATGGAATGAAACACTGTGGCTCTGGAAAGTTCCTGTGAATGTGGGGCTTAAGTAGCAGGCACGTGGAGTCTGGGTGTGAGATGTCATGCGTGTCTTCGGCAGAGCACGCTCTAACACTCTTAGTTTTCTCTTGGACCAGGAACTACAAGGAAGTGTAATGTTTGGGGCAATTGAAGGTGGAGATATCTTGGAAGAGAGGCTCAGATCAGCCAGGGAGACTGCCAAGCGACCTGTGGGTGGCTTTCTACTAGATGGCTTCCAGGGGTGTGCCATGTCCAAGGAGACCAAGTTGAAACTGATAGCTTCTGTCATAGCAGAGCTGCCAGAGGATAAACCAAGGTAAGTTGTGCTGGCAACATCCCAAGAAGTCCATCTGTCCTGTTATGAGGTCATAGGTTGCTGTGCAATATCGCTGTAGGAAATAATCACTGTATTGCACAGCTCTGCGTGTGTGCCAGGTTGCATAAATTCTAACACTGTCAGGCTGCAGTCTTCCACCCTTGTTTCAGTTTTTAGCTGTAATTGGCACCAAGCTGTGCTTATGCTGTGGGTTTGCGTATTCTCCACATTTGGAGAACCATAAAGATTTTAGTTCAAGTAGTCTTTACTTTTTTTTTTAGGAAGAATTACAGGTAGGATATGTCTGGCGTACTTGTATTTGGCTTTTGAGGCCATGGTTTGCTTGAAGATCAGCTCAAACAAGAATGTTGTTATCATTTTACAGGGACCTTTTCTCAGAAAAACTGACATGTTTCCAGTTCTTTCTGGTCTGAACTGGAGGAGAGCAGAGGGAGGTGCTGACAGAACCAGCCAGTGATTGCATGATCTGATGGCAGCCAGCTCTGACCTAGTATCTGATGCCCTGAGCCTGTGAGCCACCAGAGGTAGTACCGCCTGGCACAACACAATTGTGTTCTCTGATTGGACTGGCGTAGTCTGGGAATTGTGTATTCGCAGTTGTTAGTTATGCACATTAGATCCATGCCAGAGACTGGACAGGAGCGGCAGCATTCTTAACTCTTATAAATGATTGTCCGTAACTAAACAAAACTAAAAAATTAACTTGACTCTTCTAAGTTACTAACAGAAAATGTGTGCTAATATTTGCTAGTGGTTCAGAAGCAGAGGGATTTCTTAGCATTGGGTTGAGTTTGCTGACTTTTGCATGGGTTGCTCTTACAAGAGCAGCTGCAACGGAAGTATTATGGGTGGCTTTTCCATCATTTCGTGAAGAGAGTGACTCAGCCCCATTGTCTCTGTAGCCGTGCTGCCCTCTGCTAGCTGAGCATTGCTCTGACCTAATAGCGTTCAAAAGGAAATTAAATGTGAAAGCGTGTGTCTGGTGTTGCAGCTCGTTCATGCTTAGCAGTGCCTGGCATCTGAATTTTCTGACAATTAGAAGCCTTGCTGTGTTGTTGCCATCCTGTCTAGCTGAGCTACTTAAAAGATCCCCTGAGTGCATTACAGTCCAATCTGCTCAGCTAACCTTAGTGGCTACCAGTGCATCTGCCTCATCTATCAAATAGTTTGCTTGTCTGGTTAAGACAAGTGTTCCTGACCTCTTTGTAGGAGGAAAGCTGGTTAGCCCTAGGGGGGTCTTTTAAATACCTAAAGTGAATTTCAGATGATCTTGCTTTCCTGAATCACCCCTGCCATTCTGGCTGGAGAAGTTGCTTTGCAGCTCTGTTCTACTGCAATAAGAAATTTGCTTTAAGACAAATACTTCCCGTGCTTCACCCAAGAAATTACTGCTTTTTGTGTGGTGGTGAAATGATCTTACGAATGCACTCTTTAGAGTCATGTGCCTAAAGGTGCTGAAGTCTCCTGGTAAAATTTATTTTCCTTTTCAATAGCACCAGAACCCTTGCGAGAACAAATGTTTATTCTTACCTGTGCAAAGATAAGTTGCAGCAGGGGGTTCAATTATATATGCAGAGCTGCTGTTCTAACTGTCGAGTATAATTTTCACCCTGCCATGAGCGCCTGAAACGTAAGACGCTCATACTGTAAACTTCTCCCATCCTTATTTTGTGCTCATCAATTTAACTGGAGTACTGAGAAAAGTGACTAAAAATGGCACCTTGTGACTTCATTTATCAGCCCCTGTGCATTTTCCTAATTACCTGTTTAGATCATTGCCCTACATTAGCTTGTACTCCTGTCAGCCCAGCCATGCAGCTGCTGGAGAGCAGGCGCTGATCTATTCTCTTCTGCTTCACCCACCCTCAGGGAAGCTGCCAGCTAAATTTGGTTAACAGCAGGATTTCTATTACCATTGATGGCAGTCCAGCTGGGCTCTTCCTGGCTCTTAATGCCACATCCCAGGAGATGTTATAGCCCAGGTTTGGGAGTAAATTGTTTGAGCAGGTAGAGTGTAAAAAGGAGGGAAGAATAAAGCAAGGAACTTTTCTTTTACCAGTGACACATCTCACTAGTGTATTCTTCTCTGGGCAGTTCTCCAAGTGCTATATGATATGTCTATCACCTGAAGGACTTGTATGTTTGACCAGCCATCTACTGCTATCTCTGCTGCCCTCAGTCGAGTCTTTCTGGACTGCTTCATAAACAGCATCTATGTGCCTGGAAACTGGTAGTGCCCAGGGGCACAAACACGACTAAGGAAGATACCTGTTTCATGGCATAGATGTTAGATGATTTTGAATTTAAGTGTATTTACATGTGTGTGAAAGAAAGCAAATCACTTCAAACATAGAGAACAGAATGAGTTTTTTTCTGCAGTAAATAAGAGATTATCGCTGTCTTTCAAAGAGTAGATAAAGGAAAATCTGTACTATATTGGCTATACTGGATAGATTGGAGGTGGGGAAATGGAAGCACGGAGGATTCTGAGTGATGACTGTTGTACCCTTTTGTCTTCCGGTTAGCAGTTGCAGGTGTAAACTACACGTGCTGCACGTGTGTCTTTTCCTTCAGGTACCTGCTTGCTTCTACTCAGAATATTCTAGATTTGTTGTCTTGTGTTTCTCTCACAGAATCATCCATGGTGTAGGCAAACCAGATGAAGTGCTTGAGTGCATCGAAAGGGGAGTGGACATTTTTGAGAGCTTCTTTCCCTTCCAAGTGACAGAGCGAGGCTGTGCCTTGGTTTTCAGTTATGTCTGCCATCCAGATCCTGAAGCAGCAGGTAGGCTTCTTGATGGTCATAATAATTTTTACTGTATCAGCCAGTATTGTGGCAAGCATAATTCATGCTTTGGATGAGTCTATATTTGAGTCTTTTTTGTTCCTGAAGAAAGTGCAGTAACCACTGGAAAAACTGGTATTCTGCTGTCAAGTATTGCTTTTGAAGGTGGAGTATTTAGATGTGAAATCTGTTGAGGCAAACTTGAGGCGTCAGCCTGGGCTCTGAATGTCCGATTAGCCAAAATATTCTCAAGTATTTCTTAAATGCTTACTGAATAGAGGGTTTTTGTTGGACACCATTGGCAAATTTTCTGTTTTACCGTTACCATTGAAGGCTCGACTTGTTAAGTTTCTTGATCTCTAGGATTAACTGAATATGTGTCCATGTCAGTAATGTATTTTTAAGTCCTTTCTTCTTTCCAGCTGACAAAAGTTAGGGATCCCATTTCTTTGGGCAGCTTTCCTCTCTGTTCTTGCATTCATCAGTTCATTCAGAACAAAGAAAGAAGTTCATAACTTATTACCTCATTGCGCTGTGAATTGGGAGCATGTATATCACCCATTAAAGCATCTATCAAATGTGTTTCAAGCAGCCACTTTGGTTTTGCCTATTTAATGTTTTTGCTACAGAAAAACATCTTACATTTTTTCCTCCTGAGTAGAACCTAGTGGCTCTTCACGCCTGGATAATTCAAAACCAGCCAAATAGAAAAGAATATCTTGTCTCATTGTGCTTGCTGCTATTTTTTTAACCCTTCTCTTCGTTTCTTGTTCTTTGCCTTGTCTCGCTTTATTCTTAAATCACAAGATTCTGGGTAAGGACAGTCTCTTTGTTCTGTGTCTGTTTGATAGTCAACAGGCAGGGATTGTGCAAGTAGTAATACTGATGTTTCAAGATATATCTCTTGCTTAAGAACAAACCTAAAAATGCAAACCTACAAAATTAGGGAGTGCTTTTTTATTTTTTAAGATTGACTGCTGAAAAGGCAGATATGGAATCTAAATCTTCTGCATTAATGCTGCCAGCCTTTTTTGATTCCAATTGCTTTGTGTTTTTATTTGTTTTTTTTAAAAAAAGATCTAAGTCTCCAAACCTGTTGACAGTATGGGAAGTAGAATGATTGAATGCAGATGAGTTGCCTGTCTACTCTAATAAAATCTCAGTAAAATCAATTTGTTCAGGTGATTGCATGCTATTCATCTGCAGTTCAGGCTGGAAATATTTTTCACATTTTGTTAAGAATTCAGCTCGGTAGAGCAGCAAAAAGTTTTATGTTGTTTCAGCTCTTAACTCTTCATTAGGTTTAGTAGATTAGTTTTCACTTGTCTCTTGCTGGTTTAATCATCTCAAATTGTGTTAACTTACCTATGACAGTTAAGAAAAATAGTTGCTTACTATAGCAAGGAGGTGGAAAGTTGTGGCAGGAATTTTCACCTCGCAAGTGAATAACAGAAATATGTTCTGTAAGGTTGCTACCCTTCCTCTGCCTTTGCTGTCTGTTCATAAAAAGCTGTTGTCTTTTTATTTAAAACAGTTTTAAACCAAAATGGGACCCAGGACCTGGAGAACGGTGCTGAAGAAGACCGAGGTGAAGACTCCAAAGCTGACCCAGAAATGACAACGTTTGAGATAAATCTGAAGGACAAAAAGTATGTGACTTTGTGAGGAGGGAATCTGTGGCTATATCACCAAATATGGTGCTTTTGTCCTCTGTATTTTGTTGCATGTGATCAGTAGCTGGATGGGAGACTTCATAAAACATGAAGGTGTTGAAGACAGTACTTTGGAACATTGAATAGAGAGTGTTGGACAAGCGGTTTAGGTTCTTATCAGGCAGTAGTGTAGGGCTGAAAGCACTGTCTTTTGTGTGACCTAAAGCCAGGGATTTTATGATCATTTATCCAGCAGACACTGTGGTTGTAACTGCATTCCAGCTGAAAAATGGTAAGTTCACAAAGGTTGCCTGGGCCTTCGGCATCTGACTTGGGTCATCCTGAGATGCTAGATTTCATTTAAACTATGGAGAGCCTCCACTTTCTGCCTCGGCTTGGACAGCTGCAGAGCAATTCTGTGGTTTGTGGATACTGTTACCACCTGTCCTTCCTTCTCTTTTCCACAACTACCCCTAGGCTGTCTTGAGTAAACAACTGTGTTGCTTTGCTCGATCCTTTCTCCACTTTTGAGGATGGTGCCTCTCACAATAGAGGAATCCTATTTGGTGAAGAGTAGAATCAGTAAATCCTTGTTTCTGATAGCTTCCTCCTTCACAGACTGTGCAATAGGTAGCGAGACATGTCTTGTTCTGCAGCTTTTCTGTCAGGGAAGGCACAGGTAAGGCCTCTCTCTGCTGTTAGCTGTGATGTAGTCAAAGTCATCCTCTGACCTAGGTGTGTGGCCTTTTAGCTCTGTAGTGAGTTCTGGCATGCATGAGCTCACGTAGTGAGTTAGTGCCAGTGATGGTGCTGGTCTTAGATGTCAACACGTCTCACAGCAGCTGGATTCAGGCCCTCAGAACTTCAAGGCTCAGGTCATTGCAAAAAGCCATGCAGTAACCAGATGCTCTTTATTGCTTGAATGGATCTTCTTACCTTTAATATTATCCAACATTACTTTCTCCTTTAGATACCACGATGATTTTGGTCCTTTGCTGGAAGGATGCACCTGTTACTGTTGTCAGAGGCATACTCGCGCCTACGTCCATCACCTCCTCGTGACCAATGAGCTGTTGGCCGGTGTCCTGCTCATGATGCACAACTTCCAGCACTACTTCAGTTTCTTCAGTGCTATACGAGATGCCTTAAGAGATAATAAACTGGATCAGCTCAAAGAGCTTGTCTTCAGGCAGGCACTTCAAGGCCCAGCAATTGCAAAGCCAGGCCAGTGAGTTCAGAGGGGATCGAGGAGATTGCAGGCTGCATCCTTATCCAGTGGGACTGTGTAAGATGGATTGCCAGCAGGGTCACCCAGACCTGTTAGTAGTAAAACGCCTCCTTTCCTGGAGGGAACTGAAGGAGAACGTTTGAAGAAGACCTTACATCCTGCTGGGGAAGGAAGATGTTGTTCAAACGTCCCTTTCAGTTAACTGACTTGGTGCATTCTTGGGGTATGGAGGAGCCTGAGCAGCTCACAAGACCGATATGGATAGCTTTGTTTTCAGTCACTCACTGTTGGTTTTCCATGTGGAAGGACAATTATTGAACTTGTGATTGGAGAAGACACGGGACATACATTTTAAATTAATGCCTGGAGGTTCAGCCTCTGTTTGGGACCCCCATTCCATTCCCAATGGATGTTA